ATGCCTGTTATGTTGCACTGCCAACAGGATGTAGGCCTTCTGGCCACAACACGGAATGAATGATTCATCTCTTAGGGTAGAAGCAGAGTTTGGACAAATGACTTTTTCAGACTACAGCTCCAGCATTACAGTTACTTACCATGCTGGCTGGAGTATTCTGGGTGCTGTATTTTTTTTTACAAAAATATTTCTAAGCTATGGGCAGAGGATCAGCAATGTGTGACTTTCAGATTTTGTTTGACTCTAGGTGCTATAACTCTTCACCATTGACTATGCTACCTAAGGTGGCCAGGGACTGCAGTCTAATGACATCTGGAGAGCCAAATGCTACCCACCCTTTGGTTTAGGAGGCTGGGGCAAGAGCTGTTTTGCAAATAAACAGGGATTGAGTTTGCTTAGTCTTTTAAGCTATGGTATACATTTTACTGTGGTGTAATGCAAAGCATAACAGATACTTCCCCTCTTAAAGATCTTTTATGCTCATGGTGAAATGCATTTCTTCTGTGTTCTCTTGGTACAAACATTGACTGCCTATTAAATACTTCAGCAGGCTGGTCGGTCTTCTGGACTAAGCTGGCACGCACAGCTAGAAGTACCAGGAAGGTGATATTGCTAGACTGTCAAATTGAGACTGTCTCTCTTTTTTTCTAAAAGATGCAACTTTCCTTCTTCTCATAAGAAAGGCAACAAGGAAACTGGAGCCTTTGTGTTCTTCCCTCTGTTTGGTGGTCAAACGGATGCAGTCACTTTTACCCCCCCCTTCTTTACTGCTCTTCTCTGATTTCTTTTGCCAAGTTCTTCTAGATCTCAAACCTGCTGAGAGGGGGCTCTTATAATATCTGTATAGCAATGCATGAGCTGTCACCACTGCATTAATGGTTAATGAATGCGAATTCTGGATACTAGTAGAAGTTGGGCATAGTCTTTGCACCTATGTAGTTGGGTGACCTGGGGGGGGGGCAAGTTGGTACCGTATTTGCCGGCGTATAAGACGAATGGGCGTATAAGACGACCCCAGCATTTCCACTCAAAATATAGAGTTTGTGTACACACACACACACACGCACACACACACACACACACACACATACAGCTATGTCTATCCCAACTGAAGTGCACCCGGCGTATAAGACGACCTCCCCACTTGGAAGCATGTTTTTCAGGGCAAAAAAGTAGTCTTATACGCGTAGAAGTTGGGCATAGTCTTTGCACCTATATAGTTGGGTGACCTGGGGGAGGGCAAGTTGGTAACTCATCGAAGTGGCGTCCTTAATCTAGAAACAGCTCGAGAAAAAGAATGGTCACTGGAGTGTGCTATGAGGGAGTGGTCTCTAGCTCCTGTGGGTTTTTTTTCCCCAGTCTGAAGCCAGCTTGCCCATGGCAGTTTGGGACAAGGCCTTCTCAGGATGAATTCTCTCCTCACTGCCCTTGTCCCCAAAAGACTCTCTTGGGCTTGCAGCCAGGCCCTTCACAGTCCCTCTCATGGGCTGACACTTCTCAATAGCAGCATTCTGTGCTGGGTTTTCAGACTCTGAGTAAAAGCTACTAATTTTAGCTCCTAAGGGCTTCGATGATCTTGCGGACTAAGAATGCTGGAACATGAGTGGTCTCTTGTGCTTCTTCACAGCAGAATAAAATGTATTGCCTTTAAAAATAGGGAGACAGCTTCAGAATTAAGCAAAGAAGTAGCCAATTGTTTCTGTAGAAATTCCTTGTGCAGGACTTCCCATTTGATATACGTATATGGGCAGAATTTGCAAACAAAGGTCAGGCAGCTAGAGCTTTCAAGGCAGCCTTTTTCCGTCATCTAAAACTCAACGTCTCCTTTTGGCAACTTAAAAATCTCATGTCCCTTCAAATCTTCTTCTTCTTCCATTTTATTTGACATTTGAAATACTCTCTCTGTGTGTGTTTGGGTGTGTGTGTGTTATTTTGAGATTAGCAAGTAGAAAAGCGGATGGCCATTGTCCTTTCTCCATTTTTCTATAGCACTGTCACTGAGAACAAAAGTTTTAAGTTTTAGCCCCACGTCAGTAATAGAACTGTAAGTGTGGAAAGAGAGGGAAGGGAGATACATAAAGTCTACACTGCAACATCACTTAAACATAAAGAAAATATAACAGATGCATCCGGGAGTGGTGCAACAGGCTAAATCAGGCTGCATACCAGGAAATAATAGGTTTAAGTGTTTCCCCCCCAAAAAATTTCTTTTTTCAAAATTTCCAAATAAAATAATTAGATTTTCCAAATGGCTTACACCTTTCTGTGAACTTGTGAAATCTCACCTTAAAACACTGCTTCAGTGGTAGGCAAGAAGTTTTGTACGTGTAAGCGAGCCAAGAGAAGGGTTGAAGAAAGTACAGGATGGAAGCAAAACAAATAACAAGTCAGTGAAATTGTGGTTTGGGAATAAGTTTGTCTGCAGTGTTGTTTCTTGCCCTAAAAAGACTTGGAAGTTTTATCATGTGGAGTTCTTCACATGTGGGAAGCTGTGAGTGTTTGTTCATATGGTGCTACCACTCCCTTAAACAGCTCATATAACCATGTATCAAGGAATCCAGACTTCGAATTCAGAGTTGTGAGCTTTTGTTTTGTTTGTTTTTGTGCTAGAAAGAAGTGCCAGTTCTAGTCTGTGTGCAGTTTCCTAGATTAACATTTTGAGCACCATAACCATGATGTGACTGCAAAGTGACATGTATGCATGCTAATTAATGAGTTTCAATAGAGAAGAAGATTCATACTAGCTGGGTCTGGAAAGAAGGGGTGATGGGCCTTTGTAAAGGTGGATTCAAATCAGCTGCTTCCACTGGTTACTCTAATAAGTCCATACCCATACCATCCATGATAACTTTATTGCTAAGCTCTAGTTTCTTCTTGGTTAACCTCTCATACATCTTTAGGGGGAAAGGCTTAAAACTGTGAGACAGTACTGCATGAACAACACTTCTATACTTCCATGGGTCACTCACAGGGAAATTTGTATAATTCTGTCTCCCAGAGCCAGAAATAACTGAGTAATTGTAAGACCCCCTAGCCAGAGCCAGGAAGCTTACGTGGGAGTGCCGTTGCTCCCGTCTCGGGCTCAGGTGACTCACACCTCCCCTCCACCTTCTCCACCTAGGAAAGAGAGCAAGCAGGTGGACACCAAAGAACTGGAGGAGATAACAGGAGAAGAGGGGCGGAAACACAAAGGGGTGGATACCAGTGACCTGGTGCAGGTGCTGAAAGAGTTAAAAGTGACAGAGGAGATCGGGAGAAATTTGGTGGGAAAGGGGGGAGGGGAAATAGAGGCGGGAGCAGGGGATATAAAGGAGATGCGGAACAAGATCCTGGGGGGATGGGAAATGGTATGGGTCCAAGACCCGTGGACAGGGAAGTGGGAACAAGTTAAGGTTCCCCATGAGGAGGCAGAGAGAAGAAGGCCTCAAGGACAACAGCCCCACCCGTCTTACTGGGGAGAGACCGAAGCCAAGGAGTGGCGGCGTCACCTGAGAAAGGAGAGGGAAGCTGTGGCGAGAGAGCTGGAGGCGAAAAGGGCATGGCATCTCGCAGAGCTGCAGAAGATGGGGGTCTACCCGGACCGTGGTTGGCCAGTCCGGGAGAGGGCTCCCCACTCTGGGGTTGGAGTGGGGATGAGGAGACCCTCCCACTACTAGAGTTGGAGAGGGAAGATGACGAAGAACCGGTACCAGAGAAGGTGTTATCTGGGCCGTGGGCAATGGACGAAACCAACCCATTTGTAAGCAACGTTTGGACTCCTTTACGGTCGAAGTTTAGACCACAAGAGAATTTAGAGACTGTTCCAGTGGAGGTTCCTGTTAATGTTGATTTGTTAATAAATAAAGACAAAGTTGAAACGTTGAACGAATCTCGTGCTTTATTAACTGTGACTGCCCCCCCAACACCGAACCCTCACAGTAATATTTAATTTCTGTAAGCATCATACTGCATGTAAATGCCATCAAGTTCATATTTAATGAGAAATTGCATTGAGGTGTTGCAGACCCAAGACCAATATTTCTCAGCTTTGGGTCCCCAGATGTTCTTGGACTAAAACTCCCAGAGGTCTTCACCGGTAGCTGTGCTGGCCAGGACTTCTGGGAATCATAGTCCATGAGCATCTGGGGACCCAAGGTTGGGAAGCACTGCTCTAGACACATTACATTCTCCATCCCCATGCACTATTGGCTTCTTAAAGCTTGTCTGTTTTGCTGTGGCTTTTTTCCTGGCTAGAATGTAATGGAATACCATTTCTCTAGACCTTTTGTGTCCACCTGAAGCAGCCCTGAATAAGTGAAAAATAAAAATACTCAGATTCTTAGAAAATTGTTGTAAAACTCATCAAGGAGTTCGTGCCAATATTCTGTCGTTTTCTAGTATTAATCATTCAGTACAGTATGCTGTTTTTTAAACAGTGTTGGTTTGTTCAGCAGTTAGCATAATATAATGTAAGAATGTGCAGTGGGAGGAGGTAGGTTTTTGTGGATAGGATCAAATTGTTGAAACTGGTCATGCCAGTTTTTATTATGTTTCATGATCTAGGGAAGGATAGTGTCTTTTCAGAAAATGAAATGAAAGTTTTATGACTGGGAAATGTTAAGTGTGCAAATATTTCTGATGACAGTAATTCATATTCACAGACCTAAGTCATTTTCTGTAGAATTATATAATAGCATTATTCATTTCAATGCTATCAAAGCAATAAATATCATTTCCATTTTCCAAATACTTCCACTTGCTAAGTTTAATAAGGTCACATAAATACCAGGATGTGAAATTTACATTCACATTCGAGTTCCAAATAACCTGATTTTGTGGGGGTCAGATTTCAGTATTCAGTTCAGCTCAAAATAAATTGGTCACTAGGGAGTGAAGTTGTGTTCAGGGAGACTCAGAGTGGGTGGGGTGGAAAATGTAGCTTTATTTGCTTATTATCTTAAGGAACACTTAAAAGATACTTCTGAAATATTAATTTAATTGTAATTTCTTTTATTTTCCAGCCCTATAGAGGGAGTTCAGGAAGACGTCTAGCAGGTGCTGCCAACACTGATGAGAGATCTTATATGCAAAGGTATGTTGCATTTTGTGTTTTATTTACATTTGTAATTGCTTTATACTGAGCCAGACTATTGATTTGACTAATTCAGTACAAAGACAGGGAAAGTTATGAGACCATAATAATAATAATAATAACAGCCTTTAGAATAATCCCACCAACATAGCCCCTGGGTGTGTGCTCTGCAAATGACTCTCAAAGCTTTTAGAAAGAGGATTTGGGCTTTTTTCCCCTTAACTCTGAAACTAGGGCCTTCTAAGCAGAAATATTTTGGACCCTTGCATAAAAGATAGTTGCTCAATCCTTCAGAATCTTTCAAATTATGAAAGATTTTGTTGAGAAAACGAGAGGCTTAAAATGAATTAGTATCTTAAAACAAATTAAAACTTTCTATTTCCCTGTACTTTTGAGTTGTTGTTTTTTAATGCATCCATTTTAAAGCAGTATAACAGGATTTGATAATAACCAGGTCTTTTGGAAAATGAATTACTACATCATTACCTCTCCTTAAATGGTTGACAGCAAAATCTCAGAGGTTGCTGTGCCTCAGGGTTTTTCAGTCTCTTTCTCTTGTCTTGTTTAAATATGCACAGGTAGAGTCGATATTTCATAACCATCAACTATAACTTTTGCCTACCTTATCTGTATATTTACATGAAATATAAATTATTGTTGACTTAAAGTAAATGAAATATGAGGAAGATAAGCATACCTCAGTTGTTTTTCCAGAGTTGACCATATGGTACTCACATAGAAAGCTACCAGGGATGGCAGAGCTTAGAAGGATGGTGAATATTGTCTTATTATATCATATTTTTGTGGATTATGGGCCTTGAGTATTAAAGGAATGCATTTAGGCAGTAAGCCAGACAGCCTTTATATATATTCTTGCATGGTAATCAGAGAGGCTTGCAGAGAGGATTGTTAGTGAGTGCTCCAACACCGGAGGTATTAAAGAAAAACTTAGATAATCACCGGGCAGATATGCTTTGGTTGTATTCCTGCGTTGAGCAGGAGGTTGGACTTAATGGCCTTGTAGGCCCTTTGCAACTTCACTTTTCTGTTATTCTAGCTGCTTGCAGATTATTTCCATTGACTTGTAGGCCCCTTGCAACTTCATTTTTCTGTTATTCTAGGATTGTGCTAGCTGCTTGCAGATTATTTCCATTGGCATTGTTTAGCAGTTTGGTTCTCTGTTACATGGCTATTAATAAAACCACGACTACATGGATGGTTTTTGGAAGAACCAGAAGAACATCCAGTAAAGGTGCTGGCACTCACCTCTGAATCCTTATATGACTTAGAGCCAGGATATTTGTAGGCCTACTTCCTCCCATATCAACTTAACCATGGATTGCCATTAACTGTTGAAGCTCTGTGTCACACCACCACCAAGATTTTGCATAGCGGTGCTTTTTCCTTGATAATAACTCCACTTGCGGAATTGCTTCCTGAGAGAGATGAGATTGGCCGCACTGTTCATATGGTCACATACTTTACCTTGGATGCACACATCTTGTCTGATTTTCAGAGCTAAGCAGGATCAAACCTGATTTGTTCCTGAATTGGAGACCACCAGGGAATACTTGGGATCTTGTAGTAGAACTAGGAAAGATCTGTGTGAAAATCTAGTAAGCCACTGCCAGTTAAGAGTAAGCATTCCTGAGCCAAAATGATCAATGAGTTGACTTGGTACAAAGTAGCTTCCTGTGTTCGCTAGGAACCAACCCTTGCAGCTGTTGTGTTCCACAAATGAAGTACTGATATATGATGGGAAAGGTGCTGAGAGGGTAGATCATTTGAGATGGCCCTCTCAGGTAATGAGAGAAGGCTATATTACAGGGAAAGCAAAAGCAAAAGCCCAGAACTCCACTATCTGTGAAGAAATTTCTTTGCAACCTAAAGATCACGGGGCTTTTTCAGTGGGCACATTTGGATACCACTCAGCATCTTGTGCCAGAATAGAATAGTTTGTGATGCTCAAGAAAGAAGCAGATACCAAAAATGCCCTGCCAAGCCTGGGTGATTCACATGAATTAAGAAAGAAAGCCTTTAGTATCATTACATAAACGAATCCAGGTTTTGTCCTGATTTCACTGATGTGCTGCTATTGTTTATTGCTTGCTGATCTGATCTGGTGAAACAGTTGTAAAATGACACATATCCAGTACCTTTCTCACGCATAATTTACATTTTCTCTAAATATACAGGTACCTCACACCTTTTTTTTTGTCCTAGTGTGTTTCCCCTAAAATAAGACAGGGTCTTATATTAATTTTTGCTCCAAAAACGCATTAGGGCTTATTTTCAGGGTTGTGTTTTTTCATGTACCACAATCTACATTTATTCATATACAGTCATGTCATCTTCTTCTAGTTGCTGCACAGTGGTGGAGGGCGGGGTTTCACTTAACTAGGGCTTATTTTGGGGGGGGGGTAGGGCTTATATTATGAGCATTCTTAAAAATCATACTAGGCTTATTTTCAGGTCAGGTCTTATTTTCAGGGAAACAGAATTATCTCAGCAACTCTCAACTATATTATTTAACATTGCCCTGAAAGATTGCAAGATACTTTACAAACATGTATAGATAGATGCTTATCTCATGCTCAGCAGAAATGTGATCTGAATTGTGCGAAATCATCCAGAATTTGGTTGTTCTGAACCTAGATCTTATATATCATTGAGATATGTTGTGTGACTACTGAATAGGGGCCCTTTCAGTGGCCAGGTAATAGAATGCTTTCTTAGAAGCACTTGGCTGGCACTTGCATTGCAGTTTTTTCAGTGATGTGGCACAGTGGTTAAACTGCTATACTGCAGCCAAAACTGTGCTTACGACCCGGGGTTCAATCCCAGGTAGCCGGCTCAAGGTTGACTCAGCCTTCTATCTTCTGAGGTTGGTAAAATGAGTACGCAGCTTGCTGGGGGGGGGGGAAGTATCACCTGTATAATTAATTTGTAAACCACCCAGAGAGTGTTTTAAGTGCTATGGGGTGGTATATAAGCAACACACTTTGCTTTGCTTTTTATGCATTGAAGTCTTCAGATATTTGAAATTTTGACAATGATTTAAATTTTCTGTGTTGCTTTTATTCTCTCTTGCTGGGTTTATGCTAGACCTTTATGACATTGTACATAAAATTCAAATAATATCTCTTTGACATGGTTTTAACTGATTTATTTGTTTATTGTAAATGTTGTGATTTAATTGATTGTTTCTATGTCTTGTAAACTGCTTCAGGGACATTGCCAATTGGCTGTACATAAATATTTAAGAGAGTGGGCTTACCAGAGACTATTGCTGTAGAAAGTGTAGTGAATTTTAAAATAAAGTTCTGGACATACTAGCTGTTGCTGACTTGGTCTACTCTTGAAGTTTCAGTGCAAGCTTTGCCAGCGCAGCCTTGGGCAAACCACTTAAATGTTTGAGCATTTATTTGTTCACTATAAAATGAGTATCACTGACCTATATCCCAAGGCTGATAGTTGACTGAGTGCTCTAAAGATGCTTGAAGTTACCTAGCTCCTACATAGTTATAATGCATAGGGTATAGTGTATTTATATGATAGAGCTTTTAATATAGAATTCATTACACTTTGGTCAGTCTTACCAGCTCAAAAATTCATGGTGGATTTTCACATTTACAAAATTATATTAAATTTATCTGTCAGTAAACAGCATGCTCTTCCGTGTTATGTCATTTAACCTAAATAAACTTGTATTCTTGCTTCTACTGGAATCCTGGAGCTCTGAATGATAATTGTTTTATGGATTTAAAATGTGTATTCAGAATCAGCACAAGGTCTGGTCCAGCCATGGGCTAAAAAGGGAACAAAGGATTGGAGAGACATGATTCTTACTTGTTTTAATTTGAATGGCTGAAGACTTCCAGGCTAAGCTGTGCCTATTCCAGCATTACTGTACATATTCCTGGTCACTTTTGACAGACATTTCATAATTCAAGTGATGAAGTATTTCAAAGGATGGGCTTCCTTGGGCACTGCAGGTGAAATGTGATTGCCGATACCGTTGAGTAGACCCGTAGAATAACTGGGACTTTGTAAATTAACACTAATGTAAACCCCATTGATTGGCACTCTGCCCTAGTTGAGACTATCAGCTGGGCTTTGTTAATTGCCTGCATTCTTACAATCATACATTGGATTAATAAACGGAGATATTGAGAGAGTCTTGTTCCTGTGTGTGCTAACACATCCCTCCTGCCTACTAATTCCTTTCAACTACAGTACAATGATCTGGAATCCTGTCACATCTGAATGAGGAAACTAGAGCTGTAATGTTTAGAATACATAATAATCTTAAAAGAAATTTAACATGTAGTTAATCTTCTACCTTGCGCTGTCTAGGGGGGCGAGGTATAAATAGAATCAATGAATAAATAAATAAATATAATTCTCATGTTCTGTTGTAAGAAGAGCAATGGCTAGTTGAAGACTTCCTAGCTTATTGTGGTACACTGAGAAAGAAGGATGACACATGTGATGTGTGGTCATTCACATGTAATGTATGTTGCTTAATAATGATGATGGGCCAACAAGTTAGAACCAACTTATAGTGATAAGTGAGATATTTAAAGAGTGATTTTACCAGTGTACCCCACCTTAGTGAGTTTCTGTGGCAAAAAGTGGGGATTTGAACCCAGATCTCCTGAGTCCTAGTCAGTCTCTCAATCCCCTATACCACACTATATATCCTTTTTTTAAAAAAAACCTTTAGCTCCTCTTAGTTTGTTCACTGTCAGTGTTACTGCTTTTGATGTTGCAAATAATGCTTTCTTTCTTTGTTTTGGGGTAGCATCTGGGGCATTTGTGCACAAAAATACAGTATATTGCGTAATAAGTGTGAATATTTTCACAGTAATGATGTTAGCGGTAACTTGAAGATGTAGGTATTCAGAGCTTGGAAGAGTGGATTTTGTTTTTGTTTAGTTTAGCTTCACCTCTCAGAATGCTATAGCCTGCATTTGCCATACAACCTGAGGAGTTCTGGG